CTGGGTGTGGGTCTCCGTCTTTTCCTCTGGCTACGAAGCTCTGTCTGTCTGTCTGTCTGTCTGTCCTTATTTTGACTGATGGTCATCTTGTTTAGGTCGATGGCCTCTCCTCCAGGTGCACCCCCATCTTCTTCTTTTCAGGACAGTCCTTCCCCTCACAAATATGGATTCTCAGAGGTGTTTCTCTAGTGCTCATTGGCCCAGTCTCGGCTCCGGGGGGGGAGCTTTTTGCTCTCACAAGGTGGCCTTTCCCCCACTACCAAAAAAGCATACCTCCCCCCCCCAACCCAACACATTCTATAATTCTGTAATTCTATGATTCTATTATTCTATTATTCTATGATTCTAAAAACATGAAAGGGGGAGACCACCTTTTTTTTTTTTTTTTCTGCCGAGTCTCCTACCAAAGCTTGTTTCATTAAACTGTTAAACATTATGCAACATTTGTACAGCTTAATTACAACTTTTTATAACAAGCCGAACGCAAGTTTTTGTGGCAATAAAACATGACGAGGCATGAAAGATGGTTCAATACTTTCTGCTTAATAGCTTGTTAGGCATGAGGCTAGCAGCCGAGAGCTCGTGACTACACAGCAAGGTGTGAATTATTGCACCATAATTCTCGCCCTGGAGTGTTTTATTGCAATTAATAACTGTTTTCATGTCTTAAATGCATTTTCTCACACCATAAAAAGCAGAAATGGAAAGTACTTGCTAATGGGAGAAATACCAGCAGGACTGGACACGGATCGCCAACTGGAGCAACTTCCTTAGTTCTGTGCTATTTTGATCTGCTTGTAAATGATTCTGGAATCCTGTTTGACTCTAAAACTGTGTGGCCCCAAAGCCCTGTTATTTCCCTCTGTTGAAACAGCTCTCCCTGCAAATCTCTTCACAGATATTCTGAGTTGGGAAGCAACTCCTATTTATTTGCAGCATATTTTCATCAAATTAACTTCAGCCACATGAACTCATACGTTCAGTTCCCCACACCAAGCTACTAACTTCTGAGGAGTGCACCTCTTTATTTTGAAAGGAGAAAAGAGACGGATTCAGAAAGAGTTCGTTGCCTTTTTTGAGTTAGTTCTGTGGCAAATTTGAACCCATTCCAGTTTAATTTTGGGTAACGTGAAAGCTGAAGAAAAGCAGATATCACAAAAATAAAATGCTAGTTGAGGCCCCTAATCCAGATCCTACTGAACCTGCTGGAAATGCAAACCTTGCCTTTACCGGGAGCTGAATCTGCCTCTTGATACTGAAATGGTGACAAAAAAATGTTATTACTGTGATATTAAAAAACTATGAAGGTGATGCTTGTGGTTAGTCAGCGCAACCTGCTTTAATATGTGTATATCACATAATGCAATACAGTAACATCACTGAAGAGATTGCAACTTGTTAACCAGTCTGATGTCAAAAAGCCAATCTTTAAGAGCAAATACAGGGATTGGGAATACAGGTACCAAGACAGAAAATTGATTGGTAGTTTGAACTTTCACTTAAGAAAGACTTAATGGGATGGGGAGATTAATAATAAGGGTCTCTCAGCTGTCTGTCACTGTTACAAGTACCCCAAGAGGTCAGTAATAACAGCAAATGGATGAGGCAGGTCAGATACCTTGGTAGTCTCTTTCTGGATGTTACTAGATGCGTACTTGGTCCATTATCCTGTTTCTAGTCGGGACACAGCACAAAGGTAATTTCAATAGCACTAAAGGAAACATATTTAAATTTAGTTTTGTCAGTGTTTAGGAAATCTGTGACAAGGTCATGCTTCCTCTTCTACTGCTTCAGCAGCTGCTGTGGCTTTTTCTGCATCTTCTTACTGTTGTTCATGTGCTTAGTGCACTCAGGGCTGTTTTACAGACCAGGATCCCAAGCGTGCTGGGCAAGGTACAGGACAAAACCCTGTCTCTTGTCCTGAAGATCCAGCGATGTAAGAAACAGGAGAAAAGTCACAGACAGAGTTACCCCACCACACAAGGACAGTTTCTAACAGGAGAAAACAGACAGTACGTTCTCTTCTTTCAGCCTGAAAAACAAGGATGGGTGGGTGCAGCACTCCCTTCACACATTCCCAGATTGCTCTGAAGACAGACTTTTCTCCTCTTCTCTGCTTTTCCCTTCTTCTCTGCAGTGCTCAGAGCTAAGGACAGAGCACCTGAAAGCAGGTGACAAAGCATTTCCAGCCAAAGGGATTCAGTGGCTTCTGCTATTGTTCAACAAAGCCCTTGAGGTGTCAGCCTTGTCAGGGCATGGCACACCCACCCAGGGCTCCCCAGGCAGGGAAGGACTAGCCAAGGGAGTTTCCATCCCTGGGCTGGGATCCCTCCAGCACACGGATCATGATGCTAGCATCTAGCCACATTGCTGAACTGAAATCAATGGGAGTGCATGCTGAAATAAGGGAGTAATGATTTAATTAACCATTTTAGAACTGAAACACACAGTGTCGAACCGTTACAACGCTTGCTCTACTGATGCTTTGTGGTATTATCCTAATGCTACCCCTGGAGACTGAATTCCTTCATCTGTCTCCCTGTCATCTTTAATAAACACGGACCATACATTAACAATGAGATGATGTTGTAATTCAGAATAAGACAGGCTTTGTGCCTATGTCTTTTTGTTTGTTTCTACTGAAGTCTATTTAATCCAACTGTATGTTGCTTTTAAAGCAGCATGAGTCAACTTAATTTATTTTTAAGGAAGCCTGCCTGAAAAAAAAAATTAAATATTAATATTATCTGAATTTGAATATGTTACTCAACAGAAAAATCTTTACAAGAATTTAGCTTATTCTGCAAGTGACTTCACTATTTTTTTAAAAGCTTGCAGTTTTGTATAAATCTTCCCTTCTAAACAGATGAAACAAACAAAATATAAAACTCATTGCCATAAAGCACAACAAAATTATAATTTCCAGATGGGCTTTCTGATGGAAGATCAAAGTGCTTCATCTAAAACTTGGGAAACTTCCCTTCCATGCTGATATCAGTTTTATCTGAATGCAGTTCATCCAACATTTGGTTTTTTTTCAAACAGGCAATTAGCTAGATAAAGCTGCAGGAGAATACTCTTAGAGCTGAAGGAAATAGAGGAGATTTTACTAAAAATAGTAAAAAATATTATTGGTAGGTAAGGACGGGGAGGAATCTTTCTCACTTTGACTTGTACAAAAATTAGACATTTCTATACACTGAAAAATGCCAGCTTCGTATGCAAAGATGAAATAAGCAGAGAAGAGTTGTTCTTGCATTGGTGCAACTGGTTTGGACCAACTCCCTGCCCTGCATCTCTCATTTCAAACATCAGCCAAACTAGTTGTGTGACTAGAAAATAATAGGTTAGTGTTTTTCCCTAAATGTTTTACGCACCTGTGCATTTTGATATTTTTCTTCCAAGAAGCAGCAAGTTTCTACAGAAAGCCTGTACTTGCAGGGCATCTGCATTTTCAGCTTAGCAGTGCCATAGAGTTTGTGTAAGGCTTTCTGTTTCTGAAGTTCAACCACTGCTAGTAGATGTACCCGTCACTCTGAATTGTATTTCTGTATTTTAGCGTGTACAAAATAGCTGTACAAAATACCTGCTGATTTCATTAAGCCTGGGATTTTCAAAAGATGAGGAAGTCAAATTCCCCAGTCGTATTCATCTGCTTAGGAGTCTGCCTTCTGGAGGACACTAGTTTCACTCTCCATCTCTGTCTCACACACACACACACACACACACTTTTTCATCTTGTTTTTCTCTCTCTACTTACACGCTTGCACAGAAACACTCATAGTTCAGTATTTTGGTCTCCTTGGTGCCATGCAAGACATGCCTTTTTGGCTAAAAGGGCTGCAAACACACAGCCTGACATACTAATGCATCTCAGCAATGAAGTCTTTCACTTTAATCTGCTTTTCCCTGACTGCTTTTACCTGCCCACCGTCAATGTGAAATATCAAAAAGCTTCACAAGAAAAAATCAACCGATCAAAACTCACAAATGCACAAATAATATTTTTGAAAGCAATTTGTCTGAAGGTCTCTTGACAAAGGGGATTATGGAACTGAAATGTAATTATCTTGGCATTTAAGTTTCTATTACCACCGTGTGGTTTCATTGATGTATTTGATTGCAAATTTTTATCGTTCAAAACAACCTATTGAGGTTGACCTCTTTTTCATTGCAGACACAAGGCAAGTACAACCATCTCCACCATGGTCCTACGACCAGCCCTACCAGTACTTGGGCTCCATTGCCACCCCCTCCGTGCACCCCGCCACGCCAATATCACCTGGCAGGGCCAGTGGCATGACATCCCTCAGTGCAGAGCTTTCAAGCCGGCTGTCAGGTAAGTACCTAAAAATTAGTCCCCCTACACCAGGCCTCACCAAAGCCTGAGGCTAACTGCGATGCAAGCCACTTGCAATGTCCTAGGGTGCTGCCACAGCTTTTCTCCAGTTGCAGTGAAGCCTATTGTGGGCCCTCCTTAGCAAGGCATCTCCAACTCTTTGCTGGGATTTGTGCAAAGACTAAAAAAAATAGGGTTTGGGACCCAACATATCATTGTCAAAAAAGAAAAAAAAAAGAGGAGAAAGCAGCACTTTGAAGATTTATGGAACTATAAAAATAGTTTGGAGTGCTGAAGAGCTATCGTGTCTGCCAAGAAATGAATGCCACAGATATTTCAATTCTGTTTCCTGCCCTTGCTCTAAATCCAGACCAGAGCACAGCAGGTTATGGGTGGACACACTGGCTGCAGGACGGTGGGATTTGACATTTTAAGTGTTACACTGGATCATCTTGTTACATCTTCGTCAAATTGTACTGCAGAGCTTTACAACCCAACATAAAAATATAGCATGGAAGTGCAAGCTACCCCTCTGGTTTCCACCATACTCAACTGACCATCTGCCGACTCTAACTCACACATCTTGAACCAGTATGTGTGTGTGTTCAATAGCAGGAATTTTCTTAAAATTAATGAGAGCCATATAATTCAAATTTGCACACAGCTTTTTCAAAAATATCTTCTTTGGCTGCACATATTGCTCTCATTTGAATACTCAAGGCTTCTTCTAAGATCAGAGAGAATCACTTGAACGTGCTCCAGCCTGTCCTATTGTTGTCATACAGAGCTTGCTTTGAAAGAGTCACGGGGATAATGCCCACCAAAAGTAAATTATTTGTTAGTTCTGGGTGCTAATAACATCTTAGAGATAGCTGAAAATGCAGGAAACTTTTCAGGAAAAAAAAATAAAAAAGGAAATTTATTGTTTTTTAAAAAGGTTATAAAAATTCTCATTCTTCATTGACACACTCTTCTTTCTAAAATGAAAAGACTCCTTTTTACTTTCTCCCCTGTATTTCCCTCCCTTCGCACCCCTTTCCCCTGGCAAAAATGCAGAAATGGAGAAAATGGATAAGGATGAAAAAATACCTTGTTCATAGCAACCAGAAAATTTCAACTAAAACAAACTATTTCATCAAGTTTTTTATTTAGAAATGTCATTTTTCTTGATAGAATTGTTTGAAATCAATATTCACCAGCTATTTTGGTTTTCAAACCCTGTACAGGTGTGCCTGATGCACGTGTACCTGTACGTGTGGATACGTGAATCAGAGTGAATCACATTTTACCTTTACCAGTGTGGCGACTGAGGTTGCACTCAAATGAGCGAATGGAAACGCGATATTTTTTGCATTGCCATAGTGCCCAAATGTCATCACTGTGAACCAGGGCCCTTATTGTGCTGTCTGCGGTTTGAGCACCAAAGGCTGCGATGGTGGCCGGCCACAGGAGTGCACAGTCTGACAGAACAGAAGATAGCCATGTATGTGTGGAGTAGAATCACAGAATCATTAAGGTTGGAAAAGACCTCTAAGATCATCAAGTCCAACTGTCAACCCAACACCACCATGCCCACTAAACCATATCCTTAAGTGCCACATCTACTCAGCTTTTAAATACCTCCAGGGATGGTGACTCAACCACTTCTCCGGGCAGCCTGTTCCAATGATGGACAACCCTTTCAGTGAATAAATTTTTCCTAATATCCAATATAAACCTATCCTGGTGCAACTTGAGACCATTTCCTCTTGTCCTATCACTTGTTACTTGGGAGAAGAGACTGACATCCACCTCACTACAACTTCCTTTCAGGTAGTTGTAGAGAGCGATAAGCCTCCTTTTCTTGAGACTAAACAATCCCAGTTCCCTCAGCCACTCCTCATAAGACTTGTTCTCCAGACCCTTCACCAGCTTTGTTGTCCTTCTCTGGACACACTCCAGCACCTCCATGTCCTTCCTGTAGTGAGGGGCCCAAAACTGGACACAGTACTCAAGGTGCAGCCTCACCAGTGCTGAGTACAGGGGCACAATCACTTCCCTACTGCTGCTGGCCACACCGTTTCTGACACAGGCCAGGGTGCTGTTGGCCTTCTTGACCACCTGAGCACACTGCTGGCTCATGTTCAGCCAGCTGTGAACCAACACCCCCAGGTCCTTTTCTGCCCAGCAGCTTTCCAGCCTGTAGCGTGCAGGACCCCAGCACTTGGCCTTGTTAAACCTCATGCAATTGACCTCTGCCCATCGAGTAACTGCATGCTATGTTTCTTTTGTGGCATGTGGTGAGCATGGAGGTAGAGCATCGGCACTAGGGCTTGTCGGTGCTCTCTGTGTCCACGGTCAAAGTGATTTCTCTTGGGGCAGGCATAGTTTCTTTATGAGTTGTGAAGGAACCTAGAAGAGCTTCATTCTCATGTCAACATTCTTTCTGTACAAAGGGGCTCATCTCTACACATCTTAACTGGTTTTTATAATACTTCCGAAATGTTACTTCTATATTAAATGTCATTCAGTATTCTCAGAAAAGTCTTTCACAGTATTTTCTTCTCAATCCCGTTACTGTCACACACACTTGCTGTCTATCTAAGAAATTTCTCCTTGTCAGAACAAAGAACAAATCTGAGGGGTTTTTTTAGGCTCCATCATCTAAATACAAGGTGCCCCAAAAGAAAAAGCAAAGATATGGGACATACTTGAAACACTTTGACATTAAGTCTCATTATTCTGCTTTTTGCCAAACTGGGCAGAAGAAACCCTCATCTGATAAGTGATGTGTCCAGGCAGTTTCAACAAGTTTGATTTCTTTCTCAGGAATGAGGTGTGGAAGTACCATTTAAAATCTGGCAGGTTGTCAGATACCACCTTCAACCTTAGCTACTCTGAAGCTCCTGCCATTCTATACCGTGGTGTATCTTGCCATGTTAAATCTAAAGGTGCTGGAGTCTAGGAGAAGGAAATGTGTTCAGGGGTCCCATTAATCTTACAGAAAAAAATGGAAGGCAAGCTAAAAAAGGAAGCATACAGCATGTGTCAGAGCTTTTCTGAGAAATTTATAAAAATTCATCAAAGTGTGCTGGCTGTGTCATTGACAAACTTTCAGAACTTGGCTCTGGAGTGTGTCTGCTCTAGCTTTAAATCTGGTCAGAGCCAAGAGCTTTGTTTTCTCTCTCTTCTCATGAGTATTTCCTTCAGCGCATGACTCCTCTCCTGCAGACTCCACGCCTTGTCTGACAGAAGAAGTTGTCTTCTGGAAAGATTTTTTCTTAATTATTATTGTTGTTATTTTAATCATGCATGGCTGACAACTCTAGGGACTGACACCTTCCATTAATCTGAGCCATGATGAAGATCCTTCCTAAAGTGGCCATTATCTGCTCTGTTTGTTTAATCCCTGCACACCAGGGAAGGAGACGATGGGACCGGGCATGCTTCCACTGATGTCAGACAAAGCATAGCAGAATTTGTCTGTCCTATAAAACATTTCACTTATCAGGATGAGAAGAGCTTCTAGCACACATGAAAGGAAGAAAAAAGGCCAACCCCTAAATATATAATTTTGCTTTAAAAAGGCAGAAAAACATTGTTCTTCTTTTTTGTATACTCATTGCAGCCAAGATTTTCAGAAGTTAGTAACAATTATGGAGTAACAATTATGTAGAGATTATATGAGGACCCAGATGTGAAAATTTTTAGTAGAACCTGATTTATCTTGACTTTGGTAGTGTTGAAAGTCAATGGGAACTCTGCTTCTGAGTGCTGACAGCTGGGCTTAGCCTGTGTGTGTGTGTAAATCCTGCCTGTGCAGCTTTGTGTACCCGAAGGACAATGTCTGCACCATGGAGCTTCTCATTTGAGTCAGCAAATAAAACTGGATGCAAGGATAGACTATGCAGAAGCTGGACAATTTATGTTTAGGCCCCATCATTTAGCCTGGTGAGGCAAGTGATGCTGGGCAAGCAGCTTGGGATCTGTATCCCTGTTCCCCACCCACCTGCTGAGGACGAGGGCACTCTGGAAGTCTAAATAATTGCATGTACCTAAGAGCAAACACCTACAGATACAAACAGGGCGAGAGCTTAGCACTCCTCTTTAATTGCTGCTTTACTGAAATTAATCCAAAACATCCAGACCCATGAGCACTACAATGACGGCACTGGAGAGCAGGTGAGGGATAGCTCTGTTCTGGCAGGATCGGCACCACTTCGGTTAACTATAGACCAGAGCTTGGATGTTGGTTATTGTCTCAAACAGGTGGACCTCCGTTCTGCCAGTTCAACAGTTCTCTGTCTCCATTCCCCACCACCCAGGTGCTACGGAATTGACTGCATTCAGTGACCCCCGGGTGGGAATCGACCGCTCCTTCTCCGCGCTCCCCTCCATCTCCGACCCTCGGATGCACTACCCAGGAGCATTTACCTACACGCCAACGCCTGTCAGTTCAGGGATAGGAATTGGTATGTCTGCCATGTCCACAGCGACAAGATACCACACTTACCTCCCGCCTCCCTACCCCGGCTCGTCACAGGCCCAAGGCAGCCCGTTCCAGACCAGCTCACCCTCCTACCACCTCTACTATGGAACCTCTGCCGGCTCCTATCAGTTCTCCATGATCTCAGGGGGAGACCGGTCCCCGCCACGCATCCACCCCCCCTGCACCAACGCCTCCACAGGATCTACACTCCTCAATCCCAACCTCCCCAACCAAAGCGATGTGGTCGAGGCAGAAGGGAGCCACAGCAACTCCCCCACTAACATGGCAACTACAGCGAGGCTAGAGGAAGCAGTGTGGCGACCATACTGAATAAATTTTAAGTAGTTATGGGCCAGGACTAATGTGCTTTCCATTTCCCAGTGCCCGTAGGTATCCCATAAACACCTGTCTGGCTTATGGGCCCTGCCATGTTCATACATCACTTTGAGAAGAAAACCCTCCAGAAGCCAGTACTCCCAGGAGTGGTGGCATGTATTAGCCAGCCCCTGGCAAAGCGACGTCGCTCCAGCAAAGCATCCCTTGCCGGGCGCTGAGCTTCTGGAAAGGAGGACGCCTGAGTTGGTGGTCCGGAGGTAGCAAGGGTGGGTAGAAAAGTACCCAGTTTGATTCCAGGCCTGTGGCTTTCTAACATGCCTGGGCTTGAAGGTCTCCACAGCCCTAAAGAAAGTTTCAGTTCACTTCTATTTTTAAGAGTCAAAACTTTAAAAAAATCTTAGTGAGTTTACTGCATCTTATGGACATATTAACTGTAAGGAAGTATAGGAAGATTCCCAGAGGGAAACTGTGAACGATTCTGTTTTAGCAATGCTGTGAATGAGAGATTTTATATGTTAAACTTCATTCTTTCTTTTTTTTAAAAAAAAAAACAAAACGTGTTGTATATTCCAAAGAATATGGAAATTTTTTATTGCTGGGGGTTTTTTTGTTTGTTTTGGGTTTGTTGTTTTTGTTTTGTTTTTTCTAGGATGCAGCTCATCCTGCTTTGCATCTAATTTGTTTTATTTCTCTTGGCACCTTATAAATTGCAAAAAGAAAGATTTTACTCTTTTTTTGTTTCAATCATGCTTGCTTCTTTCTTGCTTTGTCAACTGAAAGAATCAGCCCCTTTTTCAATGAGTTAATTTAACTTTTTTCTCTTGGACTTTTTTTTTTTTAATACAACGGCTACAGCCTTGGGTCATTTTCAACTACTGTACTACTTTGATGAGTTCATTGATATTTATGCTTGATATTTAGACTTTTCTTATTTGTTGATACTATTATTATTTAAATATGCCTATTTTAAAAAAGATCAGCAATTGCCTTTTTTGGTAGCAGCCAAAGTCAAATTTATCACATTGAAAAAGGCTGGAATAACGATGGGTAAAGTGACCTCCTAATTGCCTAGAAATATTGTTTACAATTATCTCACTCTCATTTTACTCAGCTAACTGGGCTCATATCCTCAAAGGCATTTAGGTGCCCAACTCCTACTGAAATGATTTAGGCAACAAAATCCCTGTGAATTTCTGTGCCTTCCCACCCAGTGGAGTCATCTCTCCCTACTCCTTCCTCGTTTTTCCTTTGTCACCAGTGGTGACCCTCAGGATCAGTAATCAGGATGTACATATTTCACAAGGCAGACTCAATATTCCCTAACTACATACATCCCCCTATGGCCCCACTCTCCTCCCAAGCTTGCCTGGGCTTCCTAACAGTGCCAGTGGTGGCCTCCTAGTATCTCAGAAGGGAAAGCCAGCACACAGTTAGCATGGCAAGGGTGAAGTCCTGGCTCTGATGGAATCAGTGTGAGATTTGCTCCTGCCTCAGCAGAGCCAAGATTTCTGCGCAGTACAAAAGCCACGTTCCAGCACACTGGAAAATAGATCAGTTGATGCATCACAAAATAACTCAAATTGAACAGGGTTGTCAAGCTCTTCTGGAAAGCAGGCTAGCAAAGAAGGGGCCTGAACGGTTCCTCTGTCACAACCTTCTGAGGGAAGAGGAGGGGTATTGAAAACTGGTGCACACAATATCCTGCCCTGTAGCAAATATGCAAGGCTTATACTAACAGCATGTTAATACAGAGTTGTCATCATTGCCCATCGTTAGAGCACAAACATATCAGATGTCACTGTAAAGTTTATGGCACTATTTTATTTGAGGGTTTGGTCTGAATGCAGTTGTTGTACTACTCATTAATTGCAAACTGCTGATGTTGACACATGTGCGTTCCAAATTAGCTGATTATTATTTAATGTACCTCTTAAAAGAGTGAAACAATTGCAGGTCAACTCAGAGAGTATTTGAAAGCAGGACTTCAGAACAGTGTTTGATGTTTAAAAAAAAAAATAAATAAAAGGATTCAAATTAAAAAGATCCTTGGCTGCAGGCAGCAAAACAGCTGGACTTATTTAAAACCATTTGTTTTTCAAGTTTTCTTTTTTTAATATGATTTTGCTTCTTTGTTTAAGTCAGATGCAGTAGCACTTTGGTATTGAAAAGTTACAAATTGAAGAATTTACATTGTCTATAAGGTAATTTTTGTGCAGAAAATAGGGAGTGTTTCAAGAGATCTCAGCAGAAGTTCAAACTGGTTCTGTTAAAATACATGCATGGCCTTGTGTTTTTCATTTAGCATAATATTCTTTATCACTTTCTAGAGTTTGCTCTGAACAAAAAAAGACAGAAAACATCAAAATTATATCAGAATAAAGTTATATCAGTTAAAAATATATTTTGGAAGTATGGAGACCTTGATGAATATGGAAATACAGAGACTCTACCTGTTGTGACATTTACATAGTTGGAACCTCACCTCTTTGGTAGCCTAAAAAAAAAGTCCTTCATCACTAAACAGTAGCTCTGTTGCAGAATCCATCTTACACATTTTCTGTCACTGTGCAATTAAAATCATAACTTACTGCAGTTCTCACATCTGCCTTGTGACTGGGCCACCCAAGTGCATAGTCCTGTGAGCATGAACTCAGAAGTGAGGGAAAGGAGAGGACCTCAGAGGAGCCAGATGCCTCCCCGCGAAGGGCAGGGCTGCCTTGGCTGGTGACTTCAGCCCAGTGGCAGAGTGAGGGTGATGTGGTCAATACGCTCCCAGGCCTGTCTGTCGCCACAGACTGCTTTCTGCTAAAGCACTTTGCCCCTTCTAGCCCATAATATTGTCCTACCCACTTTTGAAGTGATTCACAAGAATGGGGAGTTGGCATCTCTTAGCCTGGAGACTAGACCTAACGTTGAACATTTCTTATGTCTAGGAATCTACTACTTTCTTTACACTTGTCCTGAAGATGAAGTTTAATTTTACGTTCCCTGGTGTGAACAGGATGAGAAGCTGCAGAACTAGTCACCGCACTTACCCCGTGTCTTTACTGACACATAACAAAACCCTGGGATTTCCCAGTGTCTCACATGTGAGAATTGCCAGCAACTAAACTTCTGAATCTAACCTCCGTGTAGGTCAAGCACAGCACAAAGCAGCACCCTCTTTACAGAGGAAAAGCTAAATTCATTATCCTTTGCAATTAGTCTGTTTAATCACTGTGGGTTTCAGTGTATTCACACAAGTGCTTATGAGAAACCACAGATTACTTAGATCTATATTTTTGTAGCCATCCCCTGACATACTAAGGACAGAAAAGATCTTCAAGGCTGTGAAAATGCTCTCACGTCATATCTTAAGAGCACTTGGCAGGTAGAAAGAGGACATCTGGATAAAGCATTTCCCCCATTCACATATCTCCAAATTATAGTATACATTTATATATATATATATATAATATCTATTTATATAGTTTTAACATCCCAGTAGCTGAAGAGAATCCAAAAAGAATTATTATGCTTCTGTTCGCAAGTCAGCAGAGTGCCTTAGCCACCTTCCCCAACCAAAATACAGTTAATGGCAGTCCTTACTACCAGCTTGTGCGTTCCTCTCACAAGACACAACTTGTTGGCCAGATGCAGCCACTATCAAACAACTTCAAAGTAAATATAGCGCCTGGCTCTCACTTTCTCTAAGGCCTCAAACTTTGCTCTCCAACAGCGTTTATGCTCACTTCAAGAATTCCTGCTACACTTCCGGGGTGATGTACAGGAGCTTTAGTGCAAGGGGAGGCAGATGCAGAGTGCCTCCCTGCTACGAAGGATTCGATTTGTAGAATTATGCCAAATTATTGATGGAAAGGAGAAAAACCCTTTCCTCCAAATGGCCCACAGGCTTTGTCAGAGTGTTCCGAATTGCCTGCACTCTTGAAACATTCATTACTGCTTTCTGGGTGACCTTTTCCACTGGTGTATTTGAAGATTCAGAAGTCATCAATCATTTTTTTATCTGTGCAAAACACTTGCTTTTTTCCTGCATCATAAAGTTTCCGTATTTTACTTTTGTTAACCTTGCTTGGTCAGTACCAATCACTTGGCATTTTTCTCCTTGTCCTAAAAGGGTTGCATCAACAGAGTTACTTGTATTTATGTATGTAAATAGATTTCAAAAGCTTCATAGCAAAATATTTAGTGCTTGTAATTACTCTGCATTTTTTTTTCATTTTTCTGTGTTTTTAATGAACTTACCATTGCATTCTCTTAAATACTGTAGTGAGACTTATTTCTTTCCAAATTAGTTATTTTAGGCTTCAAGATTAACTACATTTTATTAACTTTTGTAAACAGTTATAGCATGGTCTCTATTCAACACTCTTCACTGTTTTGTGGTAGGGGAGAAATGAATGTGCAAAAAATCTCTGGGTTATTTGTGGTATTCCGGGTTTGACAGTCACATCTTTCTTTAAAACAAAAACTAAACTTTTGGTCTGAGGTGGCCGTACGGTAAATCTGAGGGGAGGACACAGCGGGAGACGGCATCAGAGCGCCTTTGTTCAGCATTTACTGGCCATGTTTACAAAACAGATGCTGCAGCATCCTGCACCAGTCACATTTTCCCTTGACACTGTCATGCTGAACATTTCCAGAAGTTTGGAAACTACCAAGTTCTGGAAGTTTGCTTTTTTGTTTTTTTTTTTTTTTTTTTTATTACAGGGGATTTTTCATTTGCAGGGTGGGGGGTGTCGGGGAGAAGGGGGCTGCTGTTTTTTGGAACCAAATAGGAAAAGTGAATAGAGTAGATTTTTCCCCCACTACAGGAAGTTTCTAGCTACCACATCAGAGTAGACTCTTGCTGTACATAGGGATGGCTGTGTCCAGCGCCACAGCAGAATTCATTACAACTAGCACACAGAGCAGCTGGACTGCTGCGTTAGTTCTAATGAAGACTTTTTCTTTTTCTTTCTTTCTTTCTTTCTTTCTTTCTTTGTACCACAGTTTCCTCTGTAAATTCAATATCATAATTAGTGTGAATGACAAATAAAATGTTTGACAAGTATGCACATTGGCCTGGTGCGTTCTTTCATCAGGGAGAAAACAACTCTCTCAGAGAAACAGTAACCATCAGAAAAAGGATATTGAGCATGTATCACTCACAACATCAAAAATATGTTTCCATACATTTTTCTTTTACTGAATTCTTTATTTTTTAACATAAAATGGAATTTTCCTGCTATGGAGTGACCTGGCAGAAGGCCTGCTATCCAATGGGACTATCAAAATAGGACTGAAAGGAGACTTTGCAGGTACAGAAGCTCAGTAATTGCATTATATCTCTGGCTTCTTGATCAAATTTTGATATTTCAAGATCATCTACAGCTCTTATTTTTCTCCCTTAATCTTTTGCCTCTTGGATTGGATCCTTTTTTATATTGATGTGCTGTACCTTACTTCAGGAGCACCAAAACAGAGTTTGAGG